AGTGAAACCCTCTCCTATACCCTCTCCTAAGTTATGCCAACTTAGTGAAACCCTCTCCTATACCCTCTCCTAAGTTATGCCAACTTAGTGAAATCCTCTCCTATACCCTCTCCTAAGTTATGCCAACTTAGTGAAACCCTCTCCTTTACCCTCTCCTAAGTTATGCCAACTTAGTGAAACCCTCCTGCCACTATAAAGTAGGAGCTTCAGCAAAATCTCTTCACTCAAATTGTGACTATGAAGCCTTTTTGGCGGACATTTCAAAATCTGGCGCACTTTAATATCATATTATAAAGATACGGGAATTTGAATGTTAGAGATTATTAATCTGGTATAAGTATTTTCTGACATAGAAGCATTCTTCAGTGCGACACAGAATTTATGACAATGCCATCCTTCTTACTTTATCACTAGCAATTGTTTGTTAAAATGACCATTGTTCACACTTGAGAATGCAATAGAACATGACATGCAACATTACTTATGTCGAAAGGTATTCAAATACATCTTACATGTATTGAACATCACTGCCAAGATTTGAGGTACACTTAGAATTATTACTTATGGGTTTTCCAAGCTATATTTGATGCATTCATTTTATGATTGTAACACTTCTCGCTGAATCCACACAAGACTGACTGACTGAGTTTGGTTTTACGCCGCTTTTAGCAATATTCCAGCAATATCACGGCGGGGGACACCAGAAATGGGCTTCACTGAATCCACACAAGAAACGCTTTGATACACTTGGAGAGTTTTATACACGTTGACAGTGTTTGTGTTTAGAACATTGGAATTTTCAGAAGATGGAACTACTGTTCCTTACATACATGTTCCTTAAACATGGACAAGCAGTGGAACAGGAACTGGTGTTTGGAATCGGAATCAAGCTTTGCAACCTTAAATGCATTGAAAAAGGCTCCTGCATGAAGTTTTGCATACAACATTGAAAGACTAGAGTGCCGTCTGTCTTACAAGGATGATACAAAACTGGCAAAGGAGGGGTATGTTATTTTACAAAGAAAGGAAAAGAAGTAAGTTCTTTCTTCGTGATGTGAGAACATAAATGATCGTTAGAGTATCTGAAGGCCTTAAGGTAAATATCTGGAAGTACATGATTGCTGTAATATGGAATACTGTAAGGGACATTCTCGCGATCTCGCATTCTCGCGATCTCGACCTTTCGAAACAAGCTAAAATTGCCAAAAGTGCGAGAATGCGAGATCGCGAAAACGCGAGATTTGGCCAATATCTCGCGTTCTCGCGATCTCGCATTCTCGTGTTTTTGGTACATAGCACTTTTTGTCAAAAGTCGAGATCGCGAGAATGCGACATTTGTCCATGCTGTCAAATCTCGCATTCTCGCAATCTCGACTTGTCAAATATGGCCACAAAAACACGAAATCGCGAGAACGCGAGAATGCGACATTGCATTTTCTCGCGTTCTCGCGATCTCGCGATCTCGCGTTTTAGACGCTGTCGTTGCGCATGCGTAATATCATAAGGTCAAGGCGCATGCGTATATTAGTAGTGCTGTGGTCATGCTTCTTTCGTGCTTTTCATTTCCCAAGTAGCATTTAGCAAAATTATGACATAGCTTGAAAATGCTATGTAATTTACATACAGGATGTGTAGGGTAGTGTATATAAGTCCGCTGCCGTTGTTTCCTACATTGTTTTCCTATGTACTTAAAAATCCTCAACGTGTTTAATATAATTTAACAAACGAAATTGTGAATATGAATGTCCAATAAAAGTGAAAACATGAAAGTGTCCGGAAGCTGGAAATATATTAACGTCAGTGAGTGATAAAATAGTGCTTAAAGCCGCATTAATTCGCAGCTATACCGTCAGTTATACAAATAATCACAGACCAGTGAGTTTCTCCATGATGCAATATCATATACGGCTAGCATATTCATTCAAACAAAATTCTAACCGACCAATTTGTAGCACTCGGCTAAAATGAGCATGTCTGATGTTTTACTCGACACCATATTCGCTACTTTAATAGAATGTCTTCCGCTCCCGCCTGACTACAAAACATCCTGCTTTATACTATGCTTTTGTCTTCAAGTTCCAAGAAATAGAAATGCATTTGTGTCGCTAATAGTTGTGTTCCTGTGGCAGCCATGATATGGCGGAGTTCCAATGTGTTATTAACCACAGACTACGGGTTATGAGTGAGATATCTGTTTATTTCCATATCGTGGTGGAAGAAGACACCCTGTAATAACAATAATATACACGATATATACAACATAAAATCACATCTGATGAACATGTCATCATAATAAATATAGTGCATAAATGTGTCAACAGTCATATACCATGATCACGTGTTTACAGTGATATACAAAATGAGTGTTGACATAAAGACTGATAATAATACATGGTATAATAATGAAATAGACAATAGATACTGTACAAATAACCTATCCTGTGGGTTACACGAGAATGGGTTCGCGAATCCAGCAGCCGAACAGTCATCGCATGCACTAATCCTATATATGAATCTTTGTCAAGTACATACAATATACATGGTAGATGAAATGTATCAATCTTACATGATATAGAAAATAGTTACCAAACAACAACTACTAGCCAACATATTGACAGGACATATTTATTATGATGACATGTTCATGAGATGTGATTTTATGTTGTATATATCGTGTATATTATCGTTATTACAGGGTGTCTTCTTCCACCACGATATTGAAATAAACAGATATCTCACTCATAACCCGTAGTCTCCACTTTATCATGGCTGCCGCAGGAACACAAATATTATTGGTACAAATACATTTCTATTTCTTGGAACTTGGAGACGAAAGAATAATGTAAGACAGGGTGTTTTGTAGTCAGGCGGGAGCGGAAGAAAATCTATTAATAAATTTGTTATGGCCTAAACTAGCGAGTATGGTGTCCAATAAAACATCAGACATGCTCATTTTAGCCGACTGCTAGAATTTGGTCGGTTAGAATTTTGTTTGAATGATTATGCTAGCCGTATATGATATTGCATCATGGTGAAACTCACTGGTCTGTGATTATTTGTATAACTGACGGTATAGCTGCGAAATGATGCAGCTTTAAGCACTATTTTATCACTCACTGACGTTAATATTTTTTTCAAGCTTCCGGACACTTTCATGTTTTCACTTTTATTGGACATTCATATTCACAATTTCGTTTCTTCAATAAAGTGTTACATGTTGAGGATTTTTAAGTACATAGGAAATTGTAACAACGGGAACGGACTTATATACTCTACCCTACACATCCTGTATGTAAATTACATGATAGCATTTTCAAGCTATGTGATAATTTTGCTAAATGCTAGTTGGGAAGTGAAAAGCATGAAAGAAGCATGACCCAGCACTACTTAGATACGCATGCGCCTTGACCTTATGATATTACGCATGCGCAACGACAGCGTCTGAAACGCGAGATCGCGAGATCGCGAGAACGCGAGAAAATGCAATGTCGCATTCTCGCGTTCTAGCGATTTCGTGTGTTTATGGCCATATCTGGCAAGTCGAGATAGCGAGAATGCGAGATTTGACAGCATGTACAAATGTCGCAATCTCGCGATCTCGACTTTTTGACAAAAAGTGCTATGTACCAAAAACACGAGAATGCGAGATCGCGAGTACGCGAGATTTTGGCCAAATCTCGCGTTTTCGCGATCTCGCATTCTCGTACTTTTGGCATTTTTAGCTTGTTTCGAAAGGTCGAGATCGCGAGAATGCGAGATCGCGAGAATGTCCCTTACAGTATTCCATAGAAAAGTGATAGATATTTTCCCGTAACATGAGGAAAGAGTGCAAATATGTGGCCAAGGTGTGATCCTTTCATCACTAACCTAATAGTGCGTGCGTGGACGGTGTCTGTGTGCGTGTATGTGAGAATGTATGTACATACGTGCATGCGTGCTTGTGTGGGTGCCACTGAGGGAGAAAAGAGAGAGAGAGCGATGGACGGAGAGAGTGCGTGCGTACATGTGTGTGTGCGTCCGTGTGTGTGTTGATTTAACTGAAATATTGCAAACTGTAGCGTTTACAATATTCACCCCATGACAAAATAAAACAAACTAATAGTGAACGGTTTAGGAAAACTAGCAAGGATGACAATAGCTATAACACATTAGCGTCCATTACTTCCAGATATGGTATTAAGATACGCGTGCGAATGTACAAAATGCATTGACGAATTTTCGTTTGAATGCATGAGGTGAGGTGACATGGGTTTAAAACAATTTTTGCATTACTCGTACGGGATAATGCCGATTTCATAATGCAAGCACACTGAAATACCACTGCTCTCCAACAGGATCTCATCATTTCAAAGTCTGAACATGAGCACATTTCTGAAAGCTGTGCAAGTAGATGATGCCTTTCTTTCGCGCGTCAGTATGAGGGACATACTTTTCAAACAAACTGTTGTTATATTCCTTTCATAAACTTTAAGCAGAGTCTTGGAGTGAGAGTGGGGAGATAATCAGAGTGAAAACAATGAAAACAGGCAAATCCGTTGAGAAAAAGCAATGAATTGAATATCCTTATTTCACCAAATAGCCTGACACAGGAGCATTCAGACATTAAATTACTTCTTTATAGTGCCATGTTGCTTTGGTAATTTTTTACTTTTTCAGTATTTATTAACATCTTCAAGCAAGGATTGAAACATTTTAGGCATCGACCATTTTATAGCAACACCTGCATACTAGGTCCTGGTTGGAAGCTTGCAAGAAAGAAGCATTAACTATTTCACACAGCAAACTAGCACACCTTATACACCCTAAACTCTGCTTGGTACTTAAACCAAGTATGAACTTAAATTTATTCATGAAAAGTAGTACATGGTTGTATTCCCTGTACCGTCACATATAGGTGAATACTCAACTATTCAACTGTTGACGTTAATTGATACAGTATAGTTTTCGTTGACAGCTGAGAGTACAATTCTACGGTTCAAGAGAAGCAAGGAGGGTTGACAATGGCCGTGCACGGTTGTGCTGGTGAGAGAGTGTTATACTTCAAGTTCATACAGTTTATATCTAACGTGTTATCTATTTCTGAATTTGGAAAACTGATAACATTCAGTTTTAGCCCTAATTATATTAAATCGATTCGTTGATCAGGTGAATTTCGATAGAAGAATATCAGTAAACTTAAGGATAGGATGTCAGATATGTCAAGTGTTTCGGTTCGTGAAGAGGACAGGTCAAGGTAAACGTGAGTGCGACACTGGCTGTCCTAGATATGGAACTGACTATGAATAATCATGTTATTATCAAACCTTTGATTCGGCTATAGATGACCATATCCTGGCTCGTCAAAGGGCAGCGACCTGTCTTTATTACATGATTAATCACATTTCAGCTATGGTTTGGCATGGAAATAGTGAATTTAAGTTCACTGACATGAAACTGTCAACAGCATAGCATTTGGGAATATCAAAAACGGCAAACATTTAACTCTTAAATATGTTTTAGTCACATGGGCGTAGTACAGCATAAATGCAGAGATGGTTTATAAAATGAGCAACGATTGTCGTTGTCATGGGGTGATTTTCTCATTCTCATGGAGGACGTTTAGTCTCCACCTGGGTACCAGGAAAATATTAACATGTTATCTATTTTTTCAGACAGACGCTTTGTCAACATTTGTGGTGAGGCAAAACATTAATTTTACAAAGTGCTTTGGAGTGCATGTGCGCCGGAGATATCGTGACTTGTGTTGATTGCCTCACATATATACGTAAAGACATCAAACGATTGCATGAAGTGACAACTTATCTTCCGCAGAAAGACTAAAGATATTTTCATCAAATAATGCATACATATATAAAAGTTCACTGTAGCTAAGATATCATTTGTCGCTAAAGATGTAATACAGTAATCAAAGCTAATGCGACAGTCCGCGAATACCTTGACAAAACTGACATGTCATGTGTTGCTAGCATATAAAACCTTGGGCTAACGCTAAGTCTATGAATCTACACACTTTTGACAATAACAAATAAGCCAATTTAAAGTTAAAAGGAGCCCCAATGATATTGGCAATTTAGAACCTCAGGAAATCAAAACTTGCTTTACTTAGATATTTAGTATTATGGAGGGCTAGGTAGAAGGAAAATAATGTGGCTCAGAGGGTCTCCCTCTCTGAATACATGAAACATGAAAACAGATATCCAAACTGGTAATAAGATAATTGTTTCTGAATTGTAACGTCGTCTCTGTTATATTGCAGAATCGACCAAAGCGTTAATAGATCATGACCATACAGAATATATCTCCACTTACTTTGAGAGGTCATCACTGAGACTGTTAAACGAACACAACATCATCTTTATCAAAGGGAGATCTGGTTCTGGTAAGTCGAGACTGGGATTGAGACTCCTGTCAGATGTAGCCAATAAGGAAGGACGAACTCCACTGATACTAACATCAGCCAAAGAATGGAAGCTAATACCACAAAGAAGGGGACAGCTTAAATGCAAATATATTATAATGGTCGACAACATTTTTGGTTCGAGCAGCTTTGTCGAATCGACTGCAGACGAATGGTCAAGATTATTCAATGTAATATGGCCCTCTGTAGAAGCTGGTCATGTTTACCTGATCATAACATCGAGACCGGAAATCAGTGCTCAGTGTGAGAGACAACTGCAGAGTAATCGTTTAATGAAGAGTATGACCCATGTGACAATTGATGACGGACAGTATTCTCTTCGACCAAATGAAAAAATGAGGATGCTGAAGATCATGTGTCAAAACAAAACCAACTTCACGGAGAAAGAAATGTAACTGGTGGCTCGTTCAGGGTCAAATATTGGCTTTCCTCAGTGTTGTAAATATTTTGCTGGGAGCAAGCAGGCACAGAGTAAAGGAGTTCAGTTCTTCCTGAAGCCACATGATTACATCTTGGAGGAGGTAGACAGGTTACAGGAGAGTGATGGGCTTGGTTACTGTGTTCTGTTGCTGGTGCTGCTGAGAGGAGGATGTCTTCAAACACAGGATCTCCTCACACGGCATGGTACAGAGGAATTCCAAGAATCCCTGCAGATTGTGAAGGAGATCTGTTCCGGTTTACCTTCTTATCACAGTTTGGCCAACATCAGACACAAAGCTGAATCCTTCTGTGGTATATATTTGGAACACAGTGAAAACGGATTTGTGTTTCAACATCAATCCATCTTTGATTCTGTCTTCATCAGTCTGTCTAAGAAGTATCCAGACATTTGTATCAGAAAGTGCTCTGTGTCAATGCTTGTCGAACTTGTCAAAACAAACAAAATGAATGCGATAATGATTTGGCGATACATCTAAAGGAAGAAAACTATGGAATGCTAGCTGATCGAATTACAGATATACTACTAACACCTGGACTATCAAGACAGATCGTCGACCACCCTTCTCTTAAGGATGAAGTATTCATTCAGCATTTGATCCATAAGTGGATACATGAGAACAAAATTGTCAGCATTTTCAAACAGACATTAAACAATAAGGTACAGGCCTTCTGCAATGCCTTGTCACATGGAATCGAACAAAATGAAGTATTTACGGTAGAATATCTTCTTTCTTATGTTGTACTGAAACAGTTGAAAGTTCTGACAGAAAAAATATTTGCATTGGGGCTTGACCATTTTGAAAGAGACATTTTGCAGGAATGTTTACCGTGTGCAATCTTTGTAAACAACAGTGTCCTCGTCAGGTCTCTCTTTGATTATGGCCTGAGGCCAAATGCAGCTTGTTTCAGAGCTCTCTGCGTGTCAAGGGACATGGACAAAGACATTTCTTATACAGTGTGTAGCTTTGTCCTGATGCCAAGAAAAGACGAATCACAGTTTGAGGATAAGTTCACATGGGACTCAATATCCAATGTACACAATTTTTTTAAACTGGCTGTTCTATATGGAAATGCATTTATTGTGGATTTCGTTGTTAAACATTTGAAGGACCAGGACAGACGTCAGACAGAGTTCAAACACTGTTTAGTGCAATTATTTAAAGAACTGAGTGCTGGTTATAGATCATCTGTATATCAGCCATTCAACATGGAGCACATAAGCGAGATAATCACCACACTCCTGAATACTGGGTGCAATGTTGACGTTGGGCACATGACATTGTTAGCAGCGACTCATTTATCCACTGCAGCTCTCAAAACCCTTACGGTTCGTGGGGTGAACGTAATCAACATACGTGTCCAAAAGGTTGACCCATATAGTCGTGAGGAGTACTATCCCACTGCTCTACAGCAAGCAGCTGCTTATGGTGTAGATGCATGCCTGCTTGAGTTGTTGGAACTGGTGGGAAACAGTCACCAAGAGATACTTAACATTAGTACATCCCTACTTTTCATTGCCGTTAAGCATGGTAATGTTGGATGTGCCAATATTCTGCTGAACAGAGGAGTTCCAGTAAATGTCCAAGATGGGGAAGGCAATACACCATTACATCTGGCTGTGTGGTATAATCAGTTAGAGTGTGCGAAGTTGCTGATTGGAAAGCATGCACCTGTAAATATTTCAAACTTCCGGGGATGCATTCCAATGCTATGGGTGAAGCATCTGTGCCGTCCACACATAGACATAGTGCGAGTGTTAGTACAGGCAGGTAGTGATATCGAAGGTGTAGATATAGACAACAAGACAATCCTTTACAAAGCAGCTGAATTTGGTGACCTAGCAATGGTTAAGTTTCTGCTAAAGAATGGCGCTGATGTCAATGTTGATGTTGATGCAAGTAAATCAAGAGGTATTGCAAGGAATCATGAACATCAAATCTGCAAACGTGCCATTCTTGTTGCTTGTAGGAATGCCGATATTGACGTGGTGAAATGTCTGCACGAATGGGGTGCTTTCCTTGACATCACAGATGTCACCGGTAAGACAGTGCTTCACAAGGCAGCAAGATCGTCAACTGACACTATTGACAAACTCAGATATCTTCTGGATATCAGAAAGGACCTTTTACAAATTGTGGACAGTCGGGGAAGAACAGCTGCATCTGCAGCAGTACTGTCTTCTATTGCGACTGGAGACGGTGAGCCTCTGTCTTTTTTGCTTGAACGAGGACTGGCTGTAAATCAAGCAGACAGAGATGGATATGAATATAACCTGTTGCTTTCCGTAGTTCATAATACATACTTGTGTTTCCGTCATGCACTCATTTTAGAAAACATTACTAAAATGCTATTGGATAAAGGTGTCGACCCGAATGTTCAAGAAGCAAATGGCAAAACGGTTTTGCACTATGCAGCGGAGAAACACACTGGGCTATTGAACACTTTGTTGCAAGCAGGTGCTGATCCAAATATTAAAGACAAGGACGGGAAGACTGCTTTACACTATATTGTTGAAGAACGATGTACTGACAATGTTAAATTGCTACTAAATGCAGGAAGTGATCCATGTCTTCAGGATGCTATGGGTAAAACAGCTCTACACTGTGCAACTGAAAGAGGAAGGACTGACATTGTGAAGCTGTTGCTGGACACACCCATTGATCTGCATGTTCAAGATGTAAGGGCAAAACTGCCCTTCACTATGCATCTGAAATCACAACTGATATTCTGAAACTACTATTAGATGCGGGAGCTGATCCTTGTATTCAAGATAGGCTTAGAAAAAGTGCATTGTTAAATGCAGTTGTGATTAACAATCATGCTGGTGTTAAGTTACTTCTGGAGAGAGGAGCTGATCCTTGTTTAAGCGACCAACGTGGCGTAACTCCGCTCCATCGTGCATCATGGCACAATGATGGGGAATGTCTGAAACTTCTTTTGGCACACAGTGTTGATCTGCATGTGCAGGATGAGGAAGACAGGACATTACATCATTATGCTGCTGAAAGTTTAAACGTTGATAACCTAAAGCTTCTCCTACAGGAAGGTCTCACTGCATTCTCAAGAGACAGATTTGGCCAAACACCTCTGCACTGTGCAGCCAAATGTGAAGACGTTGATAGTATAAAATTATTAGCTGAGGCAGATGCTGACATCTCTGGGCAAGATTGTGACGGAAAGACAGCACTGCATTATGTATCAGAAGTGAATTGCTATGAAGGTGTTCAACTTCTTTTAAAGGAATTGGCAGATCCCAATGTAACAGATCACGAGTGCAAGACTCCACTACATTTTGCTGCAGGACATCATTTCAGCAGTGCAACTACCACGCTTCTCTTAAAGGCAGGCTGTGACCCAAATCAACAAGACCATCTGGGAAAAACACCCCTTCATTATGCCGCTGGGTGCAGTGACAGTACTGCCGTACTTTTGGAGAATGATGCGAAACTAGGTGTGACAGATGGACTTGGTAGGACTGCTCTTCACTATGCAGCAGAGAACAGCAACGCTAAACATGTGAAGCTCATGCTGAATAATGGGGCTGATCCATTTGCCAAGGACAACTTTGGCAAAACAGCTCTTCACTATGCCTCTCATGCAGATTACAAAGTTTGGAGTGACCGCCCTAATTATGCAGATGAGACAAGAAGGGAAAGTGTTCAACTTCTCTTGGAGAAAGGAAGTAACCCTGGCATACGAGATGAAGATGGAAAGACTGCTCTTCACTATTTAGCAGAGAAGCAAGGCTGTGAATGTATAACTCTAGCATTGGCCAAAGGTGCTGATCCATGCAAGCAAGACAAACAAGGCAAAACAGCTCTGCATTATGCTTCACATCTACCCAATAGTGAGTCTGTGCAGCTGCTATTGGAAACAGGTGCTGATGTATCAATAAGGGACGAACATGGCAAAACAGCTCTTCATGACGCAGCAGAACATGGAAATCTGAAAACCGTATCATTACTCCTGAATCAAGGAGCTGATCAATGTGCCCAAGATGAGCAAGGGATGTCACCTCTCCAGTATGCAGTGACACAAATAGACTGTGTTGTTGCTAAACTTCTCCTTGACCACGGCTCTGATGTGAATTTACTTAGTTATTGCGGGAAGACAACTCTCCACTATGCAGCAGAAAAAGGATGTTCAGACAGTGTTAAGCTGTTGTTACAGAGAGGCGCCAATCTTAATAAACTAGATGGGCAAGGCAGGATCGCACTACATTGTGCAGCACTTGCGACTAGAGATTGGTGTACTGATAATGTAGAGACACTCTTACGCTTAGGTGCTGATCCATCTGCTCAAGACAAAGAGGGAAGGACGGCTCTTCATTACGCGGCTCAAAGTGAAAATCACAGAGCTGTGATACAGATTTTAAAGAAATCTGACGTCGCAAGGATAAAAGACCAAGAGGGAAAGCTAGCTCTTGACTTCGCGAAAGAAACTGGTAATACAGACATTGCGAAACTGCTCAAAGAACCAGCTATAGGTACTAGCTCTGCAAGGTGATTGTAGTGATCCTCACGTTCAGAAATGGGATGAGGACTTTTTAAAATTGGGAACACCAGTGCTGTGTATATAACATTGTAGATGACAATTTCATGTATATGCTCATCCTGAAATAGTTAGACAGATACTGAAAAAAGAGCTTAAATCTTCTGCCTCAATGGTGTTTTTGCAAAATTTGTACAAAGTGTCGAAGAGTTATCATGCTTGTAGTGTATCAGCCATTAGTCAGTATTGATCAACGTGTGCAGTCTGTTTACTAACTGGAATATTGTTCAGAACTGATTTCTCTCAGTAATTCAAAGACACGTTCTCAATGAGTATTGAGTGACTTATTGTTTCTGCCTCTGTCGCCTGTCACACCAAAACCGCCTTGAGCAAACATGACCTTATCAATTCCCGATTCATCAGTACGGAGGCTTACTCCACAATGGTGCCATAGATTGACTGTAGTGGCCAAACTATGCTGCTGGTTATTACATACTGGTACCATGGATGCACTCCCCTGACAAATATTACTCAATGATTGTATAAACCATAGTGGCGACTTTTACCCAATGATAACTCTGAAACAAGGTGTGACCATGTTTTCACTCTCCTTCCACACCGTGTGGTTGGGACTACTATTATACACTGATGCCTTGAATGCTCTGTGCTGTGGATTATTTCTCAATGGATCCTTGGGTACACTATAGTGGCGATGTTTACCCGGTGACAACTCTGAAATAGCATGTGATCATTTTTGTACACTTGTTCCATATACGGTGTGCTGGTGACAGTTGTTATATACTGACGTCTTGGATGCACTGTCTTGACAATTATTACAAAATAATACCTCGGGTAGGATTTCATGTGATTTAACACTGACATTTGACACTTTGGGAACAAATATGACATATTACTACATTTCAAGAAGTTTCAAGAAGTTTTATGGTAGACATGTGAAGCCCGATGCAATTCCCTATTTTGACTTATACCATACGTTCCCGAATTAATTCAGGCGAACAAACAACTAGATTTATGCTAATGACGGGTGTCACCGGTGGGGCAGGATACGCTCACCTTTTCGCGAACACCTGGTATCATTATCTTTTATAGTGATTCATGAACAAATGCTCTCTTATCATATCACATGGTGACAATCACTGGATTGTCTGGTTCAGACTTGATTTGTTTACAAAACATCATATAGCTGTAATACTGCTGAAGCAAATATACTCCCAAAAAAAGAAACGCATATAGGAATTTCAACTTTATTTCCATGTTTATTTTGAAACATCTTGTAGGCTTTATGAGTCAATGAAATATAGCGAAATGGAGACGTGTGGTGGCGCTGAAGTCAATACCTCGTGTGACAAGCGTGGGCATCCAGAACTGCACGGCATAAATCTCAGAATCTCGTGTTGCCCAATCGCAGCCCACTCTGCCTGTAGTGCATGTTCGAGTTGCTGAGGGTTACGGCGTCAGACCCGTTTGTCCAGGGCATCCCACAGATGTTCGATCGGGTTTAAGTCCGGTGATCTTGAGGGCCAGGGGAGCACATTGATGTTGTGGTTCTGGAGGAAGTCTCTAGTGTGACGTGCTGTGTGGGGCCTGTCCTGTTGAAAGAACTCCCTCTGGCGATCAATGATTTGAAGGAGGTGTGGGCGTAGGATTTCGTCACAGTACCGTTGAGCTGGCAGGTTGCCCTGGATTATCACCAGATCACTTCTCCTACGGCAGGTGATCACTCCCCACATCATAACACTGCCCCGGCCGAATCTGTCCACCTGGGGAACGCAAGCGTCGGTGAAACGTTCACGTCGACGTCTGTACACCCGCATTCTTCCATCGCGTCGTTCCAATAGAAATTGTGATTCATCACTGAACCATGATTCTACGTCAAATCGGTAGGTTCCAGGCCTAAACGTTGGTGCACCATTGAATTCGATGTCGACGATGTTGTTGTCGAAGCACAGGGCCAAAATAAGGTCTTCTGGCACGTAAACCAGCCTCTCTCAACCTGTTCCTGACGGTCTGTGCAGAAAGCCTCCTCAATCCGGGTATTTGTCGAGCGGTACTGGTCGCCGTAGCTGTTCGATGATTCAGGTGATGTACCCGGATGTAGCGATCCTGCGCCGCAGTGGTCGCTCGAGGTCGCCCACTACAAGGGGTATCTGCTACCACATTCTGCCGGCGATATCTCTACCAGAGCCGTGAAATGGTGCTTTGGTGAACATTCATGCATCGGGCAACTGCACGTTGAGACTGGCCAGCTTCAAGCAAACCAATGGCGATATGACGGTTGGCTTCACTTAGACGTGGCATTTTGCGTTCCTTAGACGTGGCATTTTGCGTTCGTCAACAATATTCCAAATACAGTGAATAATCGACAGACAACGATCAACCTTTTATACCCATCATTGAGACTATCTGATCCCCAACTTTCACGTGCATTTCATGTGAATTGTGTATTCTGTGACACTACACGCCGAAATTGAAAATCATGCTAATAAATACGGGTATTTTACGGATGGTGCGTTTTGTTGTAATGTTTCAAAACATAAACACCATAGGACTCATAAACAGAGCCAAACCTTTCGTAAGATGAATCACGTTTTAATTCTTTGCTACATGAAATTGCTATTTTCACGATGCGTTTCTTTTTTGGGAGAGTATATATACTCATGATATAGTCACAATTGTACAATCCACTCTGCTTTTGGCAGAGATTGCTTATGAATGTGGAAAGGGTTTTGTCACGTCTGTGTTCAAGAACAAAAGTGTCAATTATCGGAAACTCATACACTGATTTCACAAAATGATATTTGGTATGAGATATCATCGAGCGACCACCGTGATGTCAGTAGATAACATTGATACCTTATATCACTCAATGCATATATTTAAAATCAGAAAAGAGATCAAGCTGCATTCTAATTGTTTGTATTATTGTATCAATAAAGGTTGTATCCAGTGTTGAAGTGAGAGTGGTGGTACCGTCGACAGTGACAGGACAGAGGCAACGTGGAAGCTATATGAATGAGAATAGGAGCATAAAGGCGTTATGAAATTGATACGAGTAGCTATGGGTTTTGACGGACCTTACCTCACCTCCTAATACAATCACAGCGTCAAATTTCACTGTAGTTAAAGTTGAACAGCAATTTTTCCTTCTTCCAAAGACTTTTTACCTGTACTTTTTAACAAGGACTTTTTGACCGAGGACTTAATTCCCATAATCTGTGAGAAAAACCATCCCTCTTAGAGTTCAAATTAAACCGTTCATTTCTGCTGCAGACGGTGGACGTGTGCAGGGGAACATCCGCCATTGTGTATTCATTGTGACGAGAGAATCACGGCCAAGAATGTCCTACATAACTGTATGGATTTAGACGAAGATTAGGATAAGACAAGTGTTTCGCTGAGAGAACGCACACAAAACCCTTTCTTGATAATCCAACAGAGGCTAAGTGCTTGACGATTTCGCTTCAGTGTTAAAATGAACACCACATAAAAAAGAGTGTTTATTATTAACGTATGGCCTGTTCTAGTCACGATATGGCTGAAATATTGCCGATGTGACTATATCAATTATAACTCACGCACCTGAATTCATAGTATGCGTTGTGCAGTGTTTCACAATTATGAAAAGGATACCTACAATAGTTTATGCGCTTAGTCTCTCGGTGTCAGTGATCTCATCAGGGGAGGTAACCGCATGTAAGGCATAAACGATACTGAAACAGGTAAGGGTGGACGAAAACCCGGATATTGCATTCGAGTGAGAATTTTCTTTTCTCCTCGGTGTGTTTATTCAGTAATACTGAGGACACAAAAGTGTTTTACTAACTGTATGGAAAATTAGTGCATTCCAAATTTTCATCGCAGTCATCTGTGACTCTTCTTTTTTTGTTTTGTTTTTGATATATGAAGTCGTTAGTAGTCCAGTGTTAGTGTTAGCAAAACCCTTAAGATCAGGAAGCGTTTCAGAAAATTTGTCACATTAATGAATTTGCACATACAAGATGCGGTCTCGTCTGCGCCCCCCCTATGACAGGTGACCTCTGCCAGCAAATCATTTTGTTCTGAATGTGTCTATGTAGGTATAACATTCTGAAAAAAATACTAGTATTTTGTCATTGCAATGTTTTCAAAATATATATACGAATAAACGATTTTATTCCCTAGTCTATTTGTATGGTGTTGTGGAAGGTCTAAAGTTTCTACAAACAACAGAATGCTAAACACATGTATTTCTGTTATTTTACAAACAATTGCATGTGGTATCTACTCCACTGTATCATAAACTTCACGATAATAATTATTATATTAGCTCAGTTTTATATTTTACACACACTGAAGTACGTGTCGAGTTTACCGCAGCCTTCGGAGGTGCTTCCTGCCGTGGTGCAGTGAACATTTGACATTGCCTGAGTCTTTGTGATAGAGGTGACTCATCCGTCTCCACTTCCTCCCCAGGAAAGAATGATAATGCATGCTTCCTGTTGACTTGGAGCGTTATATGCACAATGATCAGTGATTGAATAAGGGCGTGTTTATTACCTGACAATATTAAAACAAAGAGCAGAATTGAAATGGACTCATTGAGTCATTGGGATAAGTATAACCAGGGCTTGTTTCGCCCCATCATGGCAGGATCCCTGCACGTCGACGTCCCGACTACGTAGACCGAATGTGGCTCGTACGGGTTGGAATCCCATCTTAAAACCATAATTTCCTGCTAATGTTAGCATTCGTATTAATGAATAGAACCAAAATTGAAGAGTGGAAAATACATCCAAAAATACATAAATAAATACCAGAAGAAAGCCATATCAAGATGTTGCAGAATATAATTCATACATAAGTGTTAAGCACCAAAGCAATGGAGAGTGGAACGAACATGTCATCTAAGTAGTGGGAAGTCATGTAGCTTCTTCTGTTTGTTACCATTTTGAATTGCGGGTAACTCAATGCCGGATTCTGCTGCTGATGCCTTACAGCATCCTCGATAATCTCCA